AGGAGGGGCAGAGAGGCTGCTTTTGGCTGTTCAGCAGCCTGTTGCTGGCAGGGGGGTGGGGGGGGCAGCGGGAGTGGGGAGGCACTTTTCCTCTGCCCAGCAGCTCTGCGGGACCCCAGTCGGAGCCGGCCCGAGGAGGAGAAGGATCCTAGGACCCAGGTGAGCGAGCCCCGGGAATGCTGCTGCGCATGTGCGGGAGTTGCCTCACCCCGTTCGTATCTAGGGATCCGACGTAAGTCGGATCCACGTAAGTCGGGGACTGCCTGTATTTACTTGAGTCAGTTGATATACACCCTGGAAGACATTTGTGTACCCACAGGCGTATCTGTACCCCTGGTTTAGTAACACTGATTTAGTAGCATGACAAGCTACACTAGTTTTGCCAAATTTTATTTTTAAAACATGACAGATTCTTTAAGGTTCATACAGTCAACCCGAGACAGGGCTTTATAGTGTGATTGGTGTTTTATCCCCTAGGACTATTTGCCATTGCTATCTATCTTTGATTCAAAGAGTTTCAATTCCAGTGTTATATGATAAACTTATATACTTATTGATGTTACAAAAATAAAAAAGAAGCTAGGGCAGCTTTAGCTCAGAAAAGCTGCCAAAGTCGTCTTTATACATACCCATTGTGTTGAAAGATTGTCAGGACAGATTTCAGTGATGCCATATAATAGGTAGTGAAATGTATGTTAGAGCAAATAAAGGTCTGCTTATAGCAGTTCATCTTTATTTTTCTAGGGTCTCTCTCTGTAATATTCCACAATTAAGTGAATTCCATTAATAGGAGCACAGACAAAAATAGCTTATAGTGAATAGTTTGATAAACAACTAGGGGTACGTCTGCACAGCAGGGCTAAAGTTGGAATAAGCTACACAACTTCAGCTATGTCAATTGCATGGCTTAAGTTGAAATAGCTTATTTCAGCTTTTGGTGCTGTCTACAGAGTAGGAAGTTGAAGGAAGAACACTCTTCCTTTGGCTTCCCTTACTCCTCATAAAATGAAGGTTACAGAAGTCAGAGTAAAAAGTCCTCCAGCTTGACATTATTTCAGAATAAAGGCTTGTAGTGCAGACATGCTCTTTGTTATTTCGGAATAACTGGCGTTATTCTGAAATAATGCTGCTATGTAGACATTCTCCCGGGATACTGTGGCACCTTAAAGACTAAGGGTATGTCTAGGCTACATGGCTCCGTCGACGGAGCCATGTAAATGAGGTTTCTAGACATAGGGAAATGAAGCGGCGATTTAAATAATCGCTGATGCCGATCAGCTGTTTGGCGGCTCAGTGCGGTAGTGTGGATGCTCCGCGGTTGACAAGGGAAGCCTTTGTCGACCGCCCTGTTATGCCTCGTGGAATGAGGTTTACCGGGGCAGTCGACAAAGGCTTTCTTTGTTGACTGTGGAGTGTCCAGACTACCGCGCTGTGCCGCCAAACAGCTGATCGGCACAGTGTGGCAGACATTTTGATGTAAATGAAGCGGCAGTTATTTAAATCACCGCTTCATTTCCCTTTTTCGAGTACACTAATCTACATGGCTCCGTCGATGTACCCTAACAGATTTATTTGGGTTTAAGCTTTTGTGGGTGAATATTAGTTCATCAGATGCATTTGATGAAGTAGGTTTTACCCATGAAAGTTTATGCTCAAATAAATCTGTTAGTTTTTAACGTGCTACAGAACTTGTTGTTTTTTGCAGATGCAGAATAACACAGCTACCCCTGTGAGACTAGTGTGATAAAACGAGTGAAATCCTAAATATTGAGTCCTCATGGAAATATATTGTCAAAGGTCAGTCATAGACTCTGAACTTTATTAACAATGTACTATGATTTGTTATTCCATTACTTGTCCTTCAGAAACAATCATGACAATTAATAATTTAGTAACAAAGTCTGCCAAATATGGTATTATAGCAACATAATTGATTATATCAGGAAGTTAACATTTATAATAATAATTATTAATTTATGTAATTTTATTTATACTCAGATCCAATGTTGCCTCCCACCCAACACAAATCTGCAATTTATTTTGTCTGGTGTTTCAGGGACTTAATCCTCTATAAAAATTCAGCCTTTCTAGATCTTTATCTCAACAATCTTCTGCCTGGTGTGCGCAGCTGTTCTCTCCTTCTGTTTTTTATTCCAGTTCAGAATGTACTGAGGGGGTAGTAACTTTGATTTTTGGAGTGGATTTTTTTTTACATTCAAGAGGACCTTGAAAGCCAAAATAGATGGTCAGATGACAATGTTCTTACCTTGAGTAATAACCAAAAGGATTGTTCTGTTCCTATTGAAATCAATGTAAATATTCCTTTACATTCAAGATCCCAAATTCTCCTTGCCTTATTCACATAGAATTTGTCTTTGCTAAGTGCTGAACAGTTTCTGTCCAAGTCCAATTATGCACATAAGCATATGCTTAAATTTAAGCATGTGAATTGTCCCACTGAAATTAATAAAACTGATGTACTCAACTTTACATAAACTTAATTGCTTTGATGAATTGCGCTTGTATTCTCAGTACCTTGCTGGACTGATCCTATGAATACTAAAGCCATGTGATGCTGAGCACCTCCAACAGCACCTTCAACTATTTAGTAATTCATAGGAGTTGAGATCAAGGTCATTAGCTTCAAATGCTGATGAAATAGAACCTCAAAGGCTATGTCTACACTGCCGCTTTTTATCAGAAAAAGGTACGCAAATTGCACTCTGCAATTTGCATACCTTTTTCCGATAGTTTTGTAGGAAGAGGCTTTTCCGAAATTTGGCCTGTCTACACTGGGCCAAATTTCAGAAAAACTTCCTCTTTCAGAAGAGCCCTTCTTCCTCGGGACTCGAGGGCT